GAGTCCCTCGGAGACTGCTGGCCCAAGTTCCTCTGAGACTGGAAGATGCTTTGCTCTGTCGGGCTCCTCTCTGAACAGGTGAACGTCAACCCAATGCCGACATCGCTCTTCATGATTCTGGATGTGCCATCAGACGTGCCATCAAAACACCTGCCCAGGGCAATTTCCTTGGCGATCCTCGGGTCTTGATCAGTGACTGTGTAGATGCCGTAGTTGTGTCCCAGCGGGTCAAGAGGTGCCAGCATTGTGTACTCGCTGGTGTCGTTGTTGGTGGCCATGGGGAGGTGGTTCACCAGGTACTCGTGGAGCATGCTGTTGACGCTCACTCGGCGGCAGTTGCCTTGTGGGATCACTTTGACGAGCGTGCGGTCCACGCGGTCCTGGTCGAAGAGCATTCCGCTGCACTTGAACTCCAGGCAGGCTGCCGACACGTCCCGCTGCTGGGGGTCGCGGATGCTGCGCACATCCCGGATGCCGTACAGCTGGCCGATGGTGCGTGGGTGCGTCCCACCCATGTTACGAGATCTTACATTCACTTCTTGGGGTCCGTTTATTTTTACTTTAATGTAGCAGGCTCTAAATTCCATGGGCTTGGGCCACCATGCCAGGTAGTCATCAGTCCAGCTCATGAGGTCATCTTCATTGAAGGGAACAGTATTGAAGTCATACCGGTCTCCTTCTATCCTGTAAAACCTGAAGTGAGCAGCACTGTGTGGGGCTTCCTCGCATTCACTGAGGTTTTCATAGGCATAAATAGGGCCATTGTTCTCTTCTGGGGAATTAGGGCTTGGCTTGGCCATGTTAATGCTGAATGCCGTTTTCTTGATGTTGGGGTCCTCATGGTCTGTCCTCCTGTAGTTAAGCTTGTTGAGGTATGGCTGTGGGACCCCAATAGCAGCAGGGTTGAGTTTGGGAGCAGAGGGCACAGCTTCGAGCTCTTCACCCCCCAGGCTTGCCAAGATGTAAGCTCCGTAGGCTTCAGGGTTTTGCTCATCGCAGAAGGCGGGCACACAGGCACCATTGGGACCAGTGACTACGCTGTCAAAACGGCCCCATGCTCTGGGATTGGAGGAGAACCCTGGTTCTGGCTCCAAGTTTATAATAGAAATCACAACCCCTTGGATCTGCTCACTTTGCAGAAATCGCTCACTTCTGTAGGCTCGTACTTTGACGTAGCACCGTCTGCTCTCAGGGACATCCAGGTTAAAAAGACGCCTTTCTTTGATCTCCATGTTCCCAACCAAAAAGGTTCTCTCCTCCCTTTTGCGCCGTGTGCTTTTCTCAAGGTTGAAGTCCCCTTCTTCCTCCCACAGCCCTGTCTCTGGGTTCAGGGACCAAAGCTTCATCTCTTGCACATGCTCTGGCATCTTGACCTGAGCAGCATCCAAATGAACCTTCACCTTTTCTGCGTTGAGGGACTCAGTGCCCCGTTCATCTGTGAAGTCCACAGAAAACATGCCGTACGTGCGGAGCGGAAATACGTCTCCTTCCTCATCTACAAAGTTCAGGTCACTTTGTGTCACAGGGGCAGTAGAGATGTTTCTTGGGTCCAGAAATGTCACACTGGCTTTCACTTTGCCACTATAGACCTCTCCATTTTTCCTATAAAATGCATTGGGAGGAATTTCTAATTCAGCAATTGGATCATCTTCTTCCATTTCCCCTAAAGAAATCACATTGGTTTCGGTGGATTCCAGTGTAACAGGGGCTTTCTTTCTCAGTAGCTTGATCTCATGAAATACAGCACCTCCATTTTCCTTGAAGGGCAGAACTTTTGTTGTGTTTACAAACTTCTGCAGCCGGTCCACAAAAGTTAGAACCAGTCTCTCCATATCTGCTGGGACGTGGATGGAGAAGGTTCCCTTGTAGCCAGTCATACTCACTCTCTTGTTCCCCATGTAGATGTGGCCAAACCTCAGCGGCTCACCATTATCTGCTGCTGTGGCTCTGCCTCGAACCATTATTTTGGTCTCGGTGCATATTTTGCAACCGCATTCAACGATGACTTTAGTGGGGAGCGTGTAGCCATCGCAGGAGATGTCCCTGGTTTCCATCTTGGATACCCCACAGCAGTAGGAGACATTGTCCTTACACCGAAGTCCCTTATCCAGCTTCCCCACACAGGTCTTTGCTGGGCACTTGCCCACGTCGTAATAGAAGGAGTTTGTTGCTTTTTGGAAGCAATCGTGAGGAAGTCGGATGAGGTGGCTTTGGGGCTGGGAGTCACAGGCTGCCTCTTGTCTTCCTGTTGAATAGGATTTCTTAATGAGCAGCATGAAATAATTGTAAGTTATCACTATGTTGTCTAAAACCTCAGAGCTAAACATTGCTTCTAAAAGCAGTGAAGTTTTTGCAGGATTTTGGTGAACTGGTTAACTCATTTCAGTGAAGCAAGCAGCTCAACTTTAGCTGTAGGACCCTGGTTAAGAGCTGTTTGCAGAATCCTCCCTGCTCCTGCTTATCAACTTTCATTATCCTCAGCTACATGCTCTGCTGCTGCCTGGCTTTTTGACTATGGCAAGACTAGAATATATCCCAAGACTTTAAAAACAACCCTAAACAAGCAGAAATGTTCCCATGTCAGGCAGCAAGTACAATGAGAAATCTCCTGACAGGAGCAGGTTGAGGTTGATAGGCCACCTGCAAGCCAGAGCTCTGGTTTGTAGGGAGTGTCTGGTTCATAACCAGCTCACTAAAGCTTGTCTGCAAACAGATGAGTGACATAAACCTCAAGAATTTTTCCTGTGACTTTTCTTTACCAGATGTATAACAGTTTCTGGTTCCTGCACACCAACACCTCCCCAGCTGCTTGGAGAACACCAGGCACATTTTCTCTTACCTATGACAGCCAGCTTGGCAACTTGAGACTTTGCTGACCCCCCAGCACTGCTGGCCTTGCAGAAATACTCTCCTGACTGTTCTCTCTTCAGGTTCTTCAGAATCAGGTTGTTTTTATATTTGTACAAGGAGGGGTCCAGCAGTGAGCCATTGTGGTACCTGCCAGGAACAGTTAAGGGACAGAGACTGACCATCTGGCTGGAGCACAGCAATGGCCTAATCCTGCATTCTACTATGTGGATTTTGCCAGATTTCCTGCCTCAGTTTCCCTGAGGTTTTAGTTCGGCTAGGTGGCATCACCTAAAATTTTTCCCCTACTTGTGACAGTACTGCAATGTGGGTGCTGGACAGCTGGCAGAGAGGCAGAGCTGCCAGTTGTGTCTGATGAGGTTTTTAAACTCTTTGTGTATTTTTCCAGTGAATCCCTCAGCAGATGAAATTGCTGTGCCTTCTTAAGGAAGAGGATCACTTGCAGCCATCAGTTCTCAGCGCATTTAACTGTTAGTAATTTTATAACTAAACCCCCCAATTTATGGAGATGGTAAGGAGATAAAAGTGGCATCCATGGGATAGCTAAGACTTCTGGCAGATCAAATTGAAGCTCCTTACCAGAGGTAGCGGTCGGGAGCTGGGCTCCCTCGGGCATCGCAGCAGAGGGACACACTCTGTCCCACTCTCCTGGCTTTGTCCTCAGGGCTCCTGAAAACATAGGGTTTGCCTGCAGGAGAAGGAAAATGCCATCTCATTACTCTTCCTCTCATAAAACCACAGTTTATTTCTGGTGCCTGCGTAAGGCTTCCTGCCTCCCCCCTCTTTGGGGCTACCTGATCGGTGCAGCTGCACTTGGATCGCCAGGTTTCTCCGGTTGCTCTCGGGCACGGTGACAGTCGCTGTTGCATATTTGGCTTTCTTTATTTTAAGGGTGTTTTTGCCATCAGGACAAACCCCTGGGATCCTAAACATGCCTCTGTTATCAGCCATTGTCAACAGCTTGAGTTTCTTGGCTTGCAGGTAGACCCGGGCATCGGCAGCAGGTGACCCATCCTCGAGAGACACCTTCCCATGCAGCGTGGCATCCTCACACATGCAAGTGTCACAGTCAGCGTTGACATGGCCCATGGGGCAGGTGATGTTGCAGGCTGGAGGAGAAGCAGACAGGTCAAAAAATAGCCCCAAGTCCCCACAACACTCACAGCGTGTTCTTGCATCTGCTTTTCATTTAGATGCAATAAGGCAAGTACTGCATAAGGAGTAAATTGTATCCAAAACATATTTTTCCTGATTACCCACAGCTGTGCATTAGAAAGGCAGGGACGATGTCATTTTGAACCTGACAATTAGTAGAAAGCAGCCACGTGGATATAATTACAGCTAGGAACTGTTATTTACCTTCCCCAAAGGGCTGAATTTCAGGGGAATTTGAATCCAGATCAGCATGTGAGCTCTTAGCTCAACCCTGGCAAGATTACAAATTCAATGTCATAAACTTTCTAGGTTTCTGTTACCAGTGTATGCTCAGAAGTTGTGATTTTGGTCTATCCCAAAAGCTGTCTTCCCTTATTCAATGGTATCCTGGCTTGGGCAGAATGTGGGATAATCGCCAAATGAGCATTACCCAACAGGTTTAACATTTGGGCTCACAAGTATTATACTAGTCTCATTTACCTATAGTGATTAATCCTAAACAATAATCTGGCTTTTCTCAAGGCTCAGGTCATTACTTTTACAATCACAGAGCATCCCTGTACAGGAACTATCTGATATTTCAAAGATGAAAATAAATGTAAGAAATCAGGGAAAACCTGAAACATCTTTTCTGCACAAAACATATTTTCAGAATTTTTTCAGAATTATTTGGTTCAAAGGAGATTATAAGAATAATATAATTAATTACAAGCCCCTTCAGCAGGGACTATGGCAATTTGATATTCCTGAATCATCTCTTTCCTGGAGGTTTTATGGAGACAGCTGTCTGCAGTCACTGACTCTACCTTGAGTGCTGCTGTTGTAAAAAGATTATTGAGATTTTTTCTATATCCCCAAGATATTGTGAGTCCCTGTTATCTTTGGCTATAAAGTCACCCTGCTCTGTTCTTTGCACTGTCCAGCCCTGCTTGGAAATCACTAAATTCTGTCAGAGGAGAGAAAGATGGTAAAATGACAGCAAAGGGAGTTCAACACCTGGGCAGTGGTGAGACCACGACACCCTCCCCTGCCCATGAGTGAGTTTAGAGGAGCACCTGAGCAAACATGTCCAATGCAGAGCCGCCCTTCCTCAGTTGCTTCATTACAGTGCACGCCCCAGAGAGGCTCGGCCAGGCAGGATCTGGTGCGCTTCTGCACCCCGGTTTGGCCACACTTGGCTGAGCACTCGCTCCATTTCGACCATGGAGACAAAAACCTTTTTGAATCTTGCACCAGTGGACCTTGAATAACATCAGTGGTGTGTTACTGAGAGGCACATTACACACAGAGCTGCCCAAAAACGGGCACTTGGGTTTTAGCAGCTTCTACAGAGCTCAGACTATACATTTGGATATTACATACCACATGGATTAAACAAACTCAGAGCATGTTCAAGGAGCTGGGAATTAAAGAATGTTCAGGGAGCTGGGAATTAAAGCATGAGGAGGCGTCTGAAGGCTTCTGGTTTAATTCCCCGCAGGCTTCCAAATTCAGGATGATTAAGATAAACCCAGGGGGAGCAAAGTGCAGGCAGCTCATGCTTAGTGTTGAATAACTTTGGCTTAAGGAAATCAAACACACATTCTCATTTAAATGTTGTTTGGGGGACAGCCTTGTCTGTTTCAAATGTGGTTAAATGTTTAAGTAGAAGGTAAAATGATTAAATAGTTACAAAAAAAGGATAAAATTGTTGGTATGATCGTGTTGAATGTCTTTAACCAAATTTCTACATATGTTTTCTATAGGGGCAACCTGTGTCCTATTGTGAGCACCACTTTTACTGAGTGCAAACCAGAAACTTAAGATGCTACCGAGCAAGCTGAACATGTCAGGAGGCAGCTGATTGGTAAAACAGAAAATTTGCAAAACACATTGGGAGTTTAATATGAGGTTATATTTTTAAGGGAATTTCTTTAAACAGGCTACTAGATGTTATTAATTTAAACTACTTTAAATGGATGAGATCCACTCCAAGTCTGTGGTTTGGGCTTTTTAAAAAATGACAGTGTTCTAATAATGTTTATGAGGATGCACTAGTGACCACAGTTTCTAAAAATGAAGTTTCTTGGAGACGTGTGCTATGTCATCTCCCATACCTCTTCTTCCACACAGTTCGTAATAGAGCAGGTTGATTTGTTTCCTAGAAAGGCAGACAGGCACAGGGCTGGACTGTTCAAATTGTGAAGGGGTGTTTGAAAACAATCCTGGCTTATAAAAGCAGGTGGGTGGAAAAGACCCTTTAAATGAGAGCAGATATGGGAGCGTCATGTCTGGGAGCACTTAAATGGGCAGGGTTTTAATCTGTTGGCACATCAGCACCTCTGTCTAGTTCAGCATCCCAAGTAGTGGGATCCATGACTTATTTAGCAATTTGAGGCATGCAGGAGGAGGTGGGCTTGGGGACGAGGTCACATCCTGTGGATGAATGCCTATTTGTGCTTGCCCCAAGCAAAAACTGAATGTGCAACAGATTAAAGCGGGATCTCAGCAAGATCCTAAGCCTGTTTGGGATCAGCTGCTTTAATCTGCAGGGCTGCTGATGACAGGAAATGAGCAGGGGAATCCCGGGCATTATCTAAGTAGCATTTTGACAGCAGAAAAAGCAGAACATGGAGGATGAGGGAGAAGCTGAGGGACAGAGCATTGGTGGGGACGTGGGAAGGGACAGGGCTGGCCCGTGGCACTGGTGGGCAGGAACGCACTGCGTCTGACGTAGGCGAAGGTGGGGTCTCCCCGGCGAGAGCTGCTCCTCGTACCTGTGGGCAGAGGGGAGATTCAGGCAGGGTTTGCCAGCTGGGGAGCCAGCCCTAGTATCACTGCCTTGTGCCATCCACTTTCAAGGGAAAACTATTTTTGAAAAAATACCTTTCAGCAAGTGGAGGGGACCTCTCAGTGTCCATGGTTTTGGTGCTTTGATTCTTCCCAGTGGCTAAGAGAGCTGCTGGGAGTTGGGCAAAAGGCTGGGAAAATCCCCAAATCCTTCAGCATGGCCAGCTATTTAAATTTCAGCCTGCTGAAATTTAAATTCTTAATTCTGGACAGAAAAGATGAGAGGTTGGAGCATCTCCCAGGGATTAATGAGCAGAGTGGGCTCTGCAGGTTAATTAAGTCCCCCAGGCTTTAATTCTGAAGGAATGGTGTCACAAACCGCCCAGGGTGTGGGGACAGGCTGGGCAGGGTAGGGGCAGGTCAGAGCATGTGCTGGCCCATCCCTGGGCTCCTCTCACCCTCCCAGGCTGCGCGTGCCTCCCGCAGGAGCTGGGGCTGTGCTCACACGTTGACCTTCCCTTTTCCAGGAGAGGAGCCAACAGCATGTGTCAGTGATAGCCAAAACCCTACAGGAGGTCGTGGATGATTAACATTTATTCCATTGCCTAAATCATAGAATCATAGAGTGATTCTAACCCTAAATGTCCTCTTCTACTCAAATAATACTGGTTAGTTGTAAATTGTAGGGAAAATTGTCCAGTGAGGAAAATCCACCCGAGGTGGGAATTAACTTACTCTCCAAGCTGAGCATTACCAGCGGGCTGAAGGTTCTCTGTCCTATCTGGATCCTGCTGAGGGCTGGTTTCAGAATCCTTTGTCCTAAGGGTCAATAAATGAAAGAATAAATTAGATTCAAGGAATTGGACATCCTTAGGCTGAGTATTACAGCTTTCCCATTGGACTGTGGCTGGTTAGAGCTCTGTAGGATGCAGTGCAGGAGATACCACGATAGGTACATAATGGATATGTCCCACAGCATCACTGCAGCTCAGATGTGATACAAATTTTCTATTTCCCTTATCACCCAGAAAAACTTTTTTGTACTTCCTGTGTTGGAGCAGCTCAGATCAACTAATCTTTTTATTGCTGGAGAGATAAAATATGTCCCTCCCGTCCATGTGCAAAGAAAAATGAATCCAAAGTGGGTAATGTTGGTTGTTTTTATGGGACAAGGGCTGGTTTCTGAACTTGCTGGCCACCTGCATGCCCAAGGGGAGCTGATGGCCATGGCTGGTTCCTGGGGTGCCTGCTGGGAATTGGGAAGCTAAGCCCCAGCACCAGCTCTCCGCTGTGCCCAGCTCTGCCCCTGTGCTCCTCTGGGTGCAGACTGGACACTATGGGATCTCAGAGACAGCAGGCAGGGGTGATCCTGGCATGATCAGTGGGCTGGGGAACTCATCCCTGGCCAACCAGAGGCTCACTGAGTTGCAGACAGGCTTTGCTCAAGCCCTGGGGGCTGGATGGGAGCCAGTCCTTGTGTGGAAGTTGTCTGGCCGGGCAAACGGCGCGGTGACCCAGGGCAGCGCCCGGCATCGATGTCGGGCTGCGGCTGCTGCCTCAGCGGCTGCCAGCAGACGTGCCTGCACTGGCGTGGGCAGGGGACAGAGCAGTGACCAGAATGGAAACGTTTCACCTTCACCTAAAACAGACGTGGCTCCCCAGAGGAGGAGGAGGAGGATCCAGCCTTTCATGGTGACCATCGCTGTCTCCAGAGGTGACCAGGGGATTCCTGGAGTTTCTGCAACCGTCCCACGCTTTCCCCACTCCTGCAGAGACAAGCCCAACTGTGTCAAAGCTCTCCCAGGTCCTGCTGCTTTTGGGGAGCTTCTCCCAGGCTGAACCACCCCAAAACATGCCACAGGGGCACTTATACCCCCTGTTCACCCACCCCCAGCAGCTCTTCATTTACCTCCCTAGTGGGGAGCAGCAGGAGCTCCACATCTGTGCTTGCATCGCCCCTGCTTCTCACCATCCCATCTGAGCCCAAATCTATTTTGCAGAGCCCTGCTTTGTAACAGCATCTCCTTAACATGCCTAGGAACAGCTTAAATACTTCTGCAGGGATCTCTCACAGCCCACGCAGGTCTGGAGGCCCCCCAGCACCCAGATCTGCTCCCCACAGGAGCAGGGACAGCCCCATGCCTCCATCCCTCTGCCTGCAAACTGGGCATAGTGTGAGGATAGCATCTTATCCCAGTACCTCCCAGAGTGTGAGGAGAGGGAAGGCTCCTGAGCACCTCTGAAAGCAGAAAAACCCATGCACAAGCCAAGTCTTTCCTGCAAATGTAGCAAGAAGCTCAATATTTTCCTTTTCCCACAGGCACAAATGTGGGACAGGCTTTGTGTCATTCTTCACCAGCTCAGCCACTTCAGATTTTGTTTTCAGTGAGTCCCTTTGCCCTAGAGCATCAAGTATTTGGGTATTTAATTTCTGAAAGTACCTGTGAAGCTGGTGTTATCCCTAGTGACACCAGCTGGAATTCCAGGTGCTTTATTTTATGCACCTAAAATTAATGAACTGGGAGGAGGGGAAAATATTGCCCCAGCCATTTGGTGCCTCAGTTTACCCATAAAATGGGGCTGACAAAGAGCAGTCATTGGTGAGAACACTTATTTGTAAGTGGTACTAACCATCCCCTCTGGGACCAGGGAATGTGGGACTAGGAAATACTTTGATTATGGCTCAGCAAATCCCAGTCAAGCAAAAATAACAAGCAACACATGAGCGGTGTTTTGTGGGCTTACGGTGGGGTCATGAACTCTCAGCCAGACAATAACCAGGAAAAAATTAATCCCGTTTCCCATTTGGCAACTATTTTTGGAGCTGACTGCAACTTGTTCAGCACTGGGTTTGGGATTGGGATACATCCCTCTGTACCCAGACACACAATGCTAAAAAGGGGGGGTTCAAGCGGCCGGGTTTTGGCAGAGGGAGGGTTTGAGCTGTGTCCCCTGTCTGGCTGTGCGGGACAGTGCGAGCCAGAGCCGCGGGAGATGAAGCAGCCGCCCGTGAGCAGAGCCCCCAGAGCCCCGCTCCCGCTGTCCCGTAACCCTTCCCCAAGCCCGTTCGCTGGGACGAGGAAGGGAGAAGCGGGACGCAGGGAACTGCATCCCCATCCATGTTTTTCAGCCTCTGTGCCGTCATCTGCCCAGTAATTAATTTCCACCTCACCTTCAATCACAGCTACTCTTAATTACGTCGCCTTAATACAAAAGAATTCTATAACCACTATCTGCCATAGAAAGGAAAACAGCAGGATTGGGGTTTTTTTCTCTTACCTAAAAAGCCATAAAAACCCCACTTAAGGAGAGTCCCGTCTTCTCGCCACAGAGCCGCCAGCCGAGCTGAGATCCGCGGGCGAGACGAGGGCTTGTCAGCTGCGTGTGCAGGGATTTGCAGCCGGCTGGGAAGAAGAGAGAGCTGCGGCTTCCCGACACCTCCCCTGCGTCGAGCGGAGCCGGGCTGTGTGCGAGCCGCCCGCCGCCGAGGCAGCGAGGGCGCTTATATAGCCCGGCGTGCAGCTCAGGGGATGGCAGCGAGCCACCGGCCGCGAGCACAAACAGATCGGACGCGCGAGGAAACCGCAGCCTGAATAATCCCTTAATAAGGTGATGGTAAACACAAACCTGTGGCGGTGCCACGGCGTGGCGGCTGCAGCTGGTGGTGGGACAGGGCACGGTGTGGGTACCACGTCCTGGTGTGGGCACCGCATCCCAGCACAGCACTGTCACTGTTAGGGGTTCACCCGGGGTCTGGATCTGAAATAGATGCTGCTGAGTGTTGAAAGGGGAGATACAGTGAACAGACAATGAGTGTTGGGGATGTCTTTTGGCTTTACCTAATCTGGGACAAATGGGGTGCCCACCCAGCAGTGGGCACATGGATTTGCCCCATTTTGCAGGTGTGGGCTCAGCTGGGCACCATTCCCTGCACTGCCTGCCCACCTCTGCCCCTGTGCTGGCTCTGGCAGGGATCAGATGAGGCTGCTGTGGGGATGTGAGGATGTGTGACAAAGCCAGTGGGACTGGTTTGAACACCCAGGGTAGCACAGAGCTGCAGAGGTAGGGCTATCCTTGTAAATAAATGTGACTGCATCTCAAGCCATGGGGAGATCTAGCAATGACCCCTAACCAGATTTTCTTGCTTGCCCCAGTCTGGCTTCAGCCTTCCAGGCTTTTCCTCCCTCTGCAGCTGCATTTTTCTCATGTAACTTGTGGCAAATCTCTGTGGACACAGGGCTCCTGGGTGTTGACAAAGCACGTGGCCTTGTGCAAGTGACTGCCACCCATGCATGCAGCCCTGGAGCCACTGGACTGTGCAGATGGTTGCTGCAGGAATGTGGTGTGAAAGCATGTGCTGTATGTGTCAGGAGCAGCCCCCAAAAGATGGGCATGGGTGTTGGGGCAGCCAGTGGGGGTCAGTGGTGTCCCAAGCTGCCTCCTAGTAATCCTTGTCAGCCCTGCTGCCAGAGGGAGTGGTGCAGGAGGGACACAGATCAAGATGTCACATAAAAAATAATCAGCGGTGACCTACACCAGCTCCTGTTTATGTTTACAAGGGAAAAGGAAAAAACACCTGAGGTGTGCCAAAAATGGCAGAATGTTTATATGGTGGACAGAGAGTGCCCAGTGAGCTGGAAGCTCCTGACCTCTGACATAAACATGAAGATCATCTCTGTTTCCCCTCTGTGAAGAGGACAAGATGTGGGAAAGGTGCTGAGGCAAAGAGCAAGGAATTCATCTTCCCCAGATGGAACCTACCTCCCACCACGGCTGACCCACACTAAGCCAAGCACCAATGCCTTGGCAAGACATCTCCTGTCCCACCAGCTGCTTGCCTAGATCCTGGCATCAATTTTTATGGGTCACACTGCTGGGTAGGGAAATGTGCTGTTCTGCAAAAGGAATGAACTGTTATTCCTTACATTATGGAAATGGGATGATAACTCTAACCCAGTTTGGGTGCAGGCATTTCTGCAGGGGATTTTGCAGCCTGCTCAGTATGGCTGTTTTCTCTCTAGCATGTCTCTTTCAAGACAAGCTCTGGAGACCTGTGTGTGGATTTAGGAGCAGGTCTGGGACCTGTGAGTCCATGCAAACCCAAGTCTCTAGAACAGTTCATTTGCACAGTCTCTCTTGGCTTGACCATCCATTGCTGCAGCTCTGGCACGTGGCTGACTTTGGAGGGGACAGCGTGAGAAGAGCCCCACATGTTCCCAGTGCCGAGCACCACCGGCTCTGGGAGAGGCTTTCCATCTGCCTGGAGGTGAACAATGGCCCAAGGCATGGGGTGGAGAGGACAAGTCAGGGGCTGCCCCATGCCTGGGGTGGTCTGCAGGGCTGTAGTACCTGTGGCCAGTGACAGGGATGCATCCCTGACCAAACTGCTCCTGTCTTTCTGCCCATCACCAGTGGCTTCAGCTGCCTAAGGCTGCTCCTTCCCATCAGATAACAGATCCACAGCCTCTTGGACTCATTCCCCTCCTGGATTAATGCTGGGGAGCCTACCCAAATCTCATGGGTTTTTTTCCATGGTTTCATCACTGATGTGGAATGCCAAAGCCATAAGGTCTTTATGTGAAAGCTGCCATGCTTAATGCTGCCTCTGACCAGCGCTGAGGCTGGGGCAGTGTCAGAGGAGTGTGGCAGCAGATGGTGCCAGCAGCATCTCCCTCCCCACACTCCTTTGTGGTTGTATCCATAACTTTGCTTGTGCTCATCTGTAAATCCAGGGAAAGCTGGCTAGTAATGCTCATCCTGGCTCTTCATGCCTCCCACCATTTCTAGTACATCATGGGCAGAGTGGCCATCTCCAAAAGCCAGCTGTACCATGCCAGGGGGATAGCAGGGCTGGAGGGGCTGCTCTCTGAGCTGCATGTGGAATTTGCAGGCTGTGGGGTGTGCAAAATGCTCTGTGGGGCCCATAAATCCACTTTTGGGCCAAGGCCGTGCCTAATTCCCTGCCGGCTGCCCTCGTCCTCCCTCCCTGCGCCCTCCCCACTCCGCCAAAGGGAGCTGACGGTTATTTTCCCCTGCTGCATGTTTCTGGGCTTGCTTCTGTTTACGGAGATGGGAGTTAAAATAACTGATTGATGACTTTGTTCCATCCCAAACACTTTGGGGAAGTTTGCGTGGTTTAGAAGGGAGAGTTGGGAGCTGGGATTTCATTAAGCACTTGGCTCCCGGCGCTTCTCCAGCCATGCTCCAGGGGTGGCTAATGTTGTTTTTTAAATCCTGTTTTGCTGTCCCAGGAGCCGGAGTGGCGATTTCCATGGTTTGTAGGAGAACTTGGAGATGTGGCAGGTCCCTGAGGTTCCCTCTGAGCTCTGAAACACCAGCAAACCTCGCAGCCACCACAATATTGTTTCACTTAAGCCCTCCTCCACCGCTTCATCAGCACAAAATTGCACTCCAGCTGCCTAAAATCTTTGGAAAAGAGCCAAAAAAATGAATTACTGGAATTTGTTTTCATTGTGTGGATGAGGATTTACAGGCTATGACTGGGAGAGAAGAAGTGAGTGGACCTTTTTCCCCTCTGGAAGGATTTGCTTGGGAGCTAAAGCTTCTACTGGGGCTCAGTAGTGCTCAGCTCCATAAACATCATTTATGGAACAGATACAAAAGGCAGCACACAGTGAGGACCCCAGGAGAGCCAGGATCCAGGGAAGGGCTGATTTTAGCTCTGAAGCTCAGGAAGGTTTTTTCTGCAGTGGTGAAAGAGCCAGGAGTGAGGAGACAGTAAGTGCCTGTGCTGGTTGTGGGGTCTGTTCCACAGGGTAAGCCCCCACATATCCACTGGCACCAGCACAACACAACTGACCCCTGACATGTAAAAGAGTGCCCTCTGTTCCATGATTCCATCTGTAAAGGAAAAGGGCTTTTGCTGGTGCTTTTGCAGGGCATGTTTGCTGTTGGAGTGCCCAGGGACTGTCACCTTCCACCCTGCTGCACACATACAGACCCACGTACCCTGGGGAGGGATTCACGGCTCACTGGGATGTCCTGGGCTGCAGAAGGGTCCCACTGGTATTTCCCTCCTATGGCCATGGCCATATCTGCTGTCTCTCCTTCCCATCAGAGCCTGGAGAGGCAGAAACCATGATGCTGTGAGAACACCAGAAGTGCCTCAATAGTGAATCCCTTTTTAATTAAGTGTCTGAGCTGGGGAAATTAAGATAAAAATACTGACTCATTTAGAAACTCTCTTTGAGATGGAGAAAGCCATTATTTTCAAGCCCTCCATGAATAATGGATATCCCAGTCTCTCCCTGGAGCATTAACTCCTCAGGGACACTTGCAGGGCAGCACCATGGTGTGGGGAACATCCTGCCCACAGATGTGGCAGGGCCTGAGCTATTGCACAACCTCTGATCAATGATGTAAAAGCGGTTGCAGGATGGGAACAGGCGTGAATGGGAATGTGGCCAGGTCCAAGCCAGGACAGCACCTCAATGGGGACATTTACACTGCAAAGGAAGGGCAGGAGCAGAGCTCCAACCCACAGTCCACCAGCTGTTTGCTTTAGCTCTGGACAGGTTTGGGTGGACAAAGACCATCCTGTGTCAAAGTCCATGTTGATTTGGGTAATTCATTTCTCCTGAAGAAATCCTTGATTTATTGCTCCTGTTTATGGGTATTGGCTTTGGGCTGGGATGCACTCCAGGCTGTGCACCCATGCTGGCATGGGAGCAGCCTCCCACACATGGGATGGTGATCACGGTCTCATTTGTGCCTTTTCTTCCATATTCTTGCTATAAACCAAGTTGAAGTGGGCAGGTTTGCAGTGATTTACACCAGTAAAACATCAGCCAGTTTTTCCTAAAAACCAGCAAAATCCTGCCTGATTCATGAGTGTGCAGGATCACACACTTGAGGCTTGGTTCTTCCAGTTTGTCTTTATCCTGTTTTGCAGGGATTGCACTGGCAGCACATTGGAGAGGTGTAGGCTGTGTAAGTCAGACCAGAGGCAACAGTGATGGCAGTGAAAGTGAAGCTTTGAGTTAAGAAGTGTTTTTTAGTGTTTGGATGAGCCTCCACACAGGATGGACAGAAAGAGACGGAGCTGTGAGGGCAGTGGGCACTCCTGGTTGAACCATGTGGGAATTTCTGTCAGGTTAATTTCTGCACTGAGCAATGTGGGGCCGTGTCTGGGCTGGGGTAATCGGGGTTGATCCAGCCCCAGGTTTCAGCTCCAGAAGGGTTTGCCAGCATCCCCACTGGCAAAAGAGAGCATGGAAATGCCTCCCCTTCCTGGAGTGCCTGTGGTCATGGGGGCGACCGGAGATGTGAAGTATCTCATGACCTCATGCACGATGCCAAGGACATGCTTGGAAAAGCCGCTCTCTGCCGAGCTAATTGCAGCGCTGCTGGGATTCCCCCTGGAATACGTGGCCAGATCAGCTTTCGCTGCAGGGTAAATGTGTGTTTGCCGGGAGCACACCAGAGGCTTTGGTGGGGCCAAGAGCTGCTGGAGGAAGGCCTGGCAGCTCCTGGTGTGAACACCTCGTCCCATCTGAGACAAAAATTGCAGGGAGCAGATTGCAAACACAGCATAGGAGATGAGCATTTCTGCAGAGAAACAGCAGGAGCAACTTGAATGCTGGCTCCCAGAAACACCTCCCTGGGAAGCCAAATCTGGATGGGGGGAGATGGCAGCACTGATGCTCATCCTAAGGGACAGTCACTGGCTTCCTGCAGCCCCATAGCTTGGCTCAGAGCAGATTTCTTGAGGGAGGGTAAAAGCAGATTTGGGGAGCAGAAATTATATCCCTCTAGCTCATCAAATTTAGCATTGATGGTATCTCTCCCCACCCAGAAACTGATCCTTTCCTAAAAGCATAGAGAAGGATCATGTGCCTGCATAAAGTTCACCCAGGAGTATCTTTAAGCTTTGAAAACTGCTTGGAGATATGGAGCTCATGAGAAAGAGGAGTCAGGGGAGGTGTTCCCTGCTTTTTGCTCCTTCATGCCCTGTGTAACTGGCAAGGGTCCCACAGGGATGTCAGCTTTCCCCACATCTCACCTCTCCCCCAGTGAAAGAAAGGAGAGCAGCTCTTGAATTTGGCCAATGTTTGGGAAGGAGCATCCAAAGGGAGCACCAAAATATGGCCTTGGGACACACAATCCTATTTGAGAGTTTGGAGGGAGGAGGATATTTGGAGCAACACTATGGACAGGTCCCACAAGGAATAAAAAAAGCAGAGGATAAAAGAGGGCACAGAAGGCAAAGGCAAGGAGAGCCACTAAACCCTGTCCAAAAACAAGGGCAAAATTGTTCACTTCCATGGTTAGTCACAACGAAAACATTGGCATTTCATAATTTCTTCCAGCTCAAAAAAAATATCCCGCTAGGGCAGTGAGAGCCCTGACTGGGTCAGTGCATGCTGCAGCTGAAGGGGACCCATGGCCCCTCCACTGACCCTGTGGGTGATTTTCTTGCTTTACTGGGGACTGGGGTACCAGGTGAAAGTTCCCAAATAATTTCCTCCCCAAATAAATTCCAGCCTGGACAGGAAAGCAAAGCTGCTGTAGGGAAGCTCAGCTGAGTGGGACAGTGATGCTCACACACCACCAGATTTTATCCCTTGGTGGTGAGCAGAAAGGGCTCAGCACCAGATCCCAGCATGTTTCTTCAGGCTTGACCTCAGGATCTGGTCTGAGATGATAAATTCTATCCTTTTTCTTTTCCAGTTTAGAGATGAGGAGAGGGATGTTACTCAGGTTGACATGTCCCTGAGAGCAGCTCCGAGTGGAAAGATGTAAATTTGGGGAATCACTGGGAATGATGCTCTGGGCATCTGAGCTCAGCAGCATCAGGAGCACCAGCCTGGGCTATCGAAAGGTGGGAATTGCAGCAGGTTTGAGCACGTTTTTCCTGGTACCCCTGTCCCATGGTGTGAAACCCCCAAGAAGGGTTTTTATCAGTGAGGTTTTGATATCCAAAGCTGAATCAGAAACAGAGCATTGTCTCACCAAGAAATGGTGTAAAGGCACAGTTTACCAAGTAATTGAGCCAGGAAGGCAGGACAGATCTCTCCCTCTGCTTTAAACACAGGTTTTTAGGAGGGGGATGGAGTGATCCAGATTATCCCCAGGAGGGGCAGCAATTACCATCCCTCCTTGGCAGGTTCAACAGAGCAGCCAGGGCTGGCTGAACAGGCAGAATGAGGTGCTGGTTTATCCCTGGTGATCACTGGGCTTTGTGTCTCTGTCTTTTGCTGCAGAGATTTTGGGGAATTTTGGGTGATGCCCTGTTTCAGTTCTGTTTGTAACTTACAGCACAGTGGCACCGTGCTAATTTTTATGATGCTGTTATTTAATGAAAAGGCTGAAAATTGGGAGCTTCCCAATCGCTTGACTTGTGAACTTTGGGTAAGAAGAGAAGCTGTTCCAGAGGTGAGCTCATTTCTAACCCCGGGAAATGACTTCATGGACGCTGGTATTTACTCACAAAAACATTGCATGTCAGATGTCCCTGACTAGACTTTCTGTTTCGAGTCCAGTATGAGACAAAAATTTCCTTGGATGAGCTGCTCCTGAGACAATTCAAGGTTTGGAGAAGGAGGAGAAGAATTGCAGGGGGGAAAAAAGAATCCCCAGCATTAAAAACACTCTGAAATCATGAGGTTTTTCTGAATAAAGGGAAGGTTTTGGGCACCCAGCCTGGCAGAAGCACCTGCCTGGAGGGAGGGTGTGGGTGATGAGTCCAGCAAAAGAATCTCCCATCCTCACCCCCCACAACAACCAGCAGCTGGAGTTACTCTCAGAGAAGAAAATACAAGTTTTTCTCTTTGGAAAGCCAAGCCCCCAGCAGTGATTTATCAGAAAAAACAGAAGCAAGTTCCCTGCCCTGTGTTTGCTATAGGTTAATGGAAATTATATCCCACACTGCTCTCTCTCGATGAGATAGATCTCAGTATATACAGGGTGTCTGATGGAAAAACACAGCACTTGCATTTTTATTCAAGGTTTGCTCATGCAGAAATTGTCCCTGGGACTGTATCACCCAGTGTGGTTCCTGATTTCTGTTTTTTCCAGCATCCTGGGATGATCCATGTGGATTTGGGGGGATCAGTCCTATTTGGAGACGCTGGGGGAAGCTCTGTCCCCTCATGACCCAGCACTGGACTGCAGCTCTGGGGATGTACTGGGGCAGCATCCCAAGAGGAGGAGATTTCGGGAAGAGCCAAGGTGGGATGTATGGAAACAAGCCCTGCCTGCCAGCACTGTTTCCTAATCCTGGACACCAAAACCCTCTGATCGTTAAACCAGCGTTCAGAGATTCAGCTGAAGGCTGCCATGCAGACAACATCCAAACTGACCTTTGAGGAGATGAGCAAAAGAAAAAAAGAGAGAAAACACAAGGGGGTTACTGTGCAAATGCTGGAGAAAAGCAGTCATTTCAATAAGGGACCCCACCCTTAAAATAAGACTTATTGCTAATGCATGCCCAGGACATTTCTGTGTGATGGTATGCTAAAAAAATCCTCTCCAAACAGGGACTTAAGGCTTTGTTGTGTCATGAGCAAGGCTTACAATTCCCAAGAAAAATCCTGTCCCTCTCTTGCATCATACAGCCAGGGATGGAGAGGACATTTCTAGACAAGAAGGCCATCAGCCAGGATGAAGGACAAACAGGGAATACATTCCTGACTTGCTACTTAATTGCTTTCATGCAGGTGCAAAGGGCTGAATGAAAGGGAAAATAAGGATGAGTGTGTGGGGCCTAATTAATCTCAGCTTTAAGCAGGAGCCTAATGTCAGGAGGAGGTGGCTGCTGGAACAAACAGGCTTCCACCCAACTTCTGTGCAGATTTTGTGCTATTTGTCCCCCAAGGGCCAGGCTCGTTTCCAAGGCACTGGTGGGTGATGCCCCTGTCAGGTAAGGAGGTGATGGGGACAGTCCCATCCTATGTGGCAGGGCTGGCTGGTGCTCGCTGGCAGTGCCAGCAGGGTCTGCTTTCCTCTTTCCCCCTGTATGGAAAGCACTACAGATAAATACAGAGTTGCTTTCTGTGACTCCGAGCAGAGTTTCATTCCTGATCCCTTTTGACAGCTCCATGCAGAAGTGATGGAGAGTTTGGGGGATTCCAGGGCAAACTGCAGTGCCTGCAGCATCTCCTGGGTCTCAGGAGCTGGTCCCTCTGCCACACAAGTTGACTCTTAAACCCACAAAGGTTTAAGAGTCAAATTGGAAAAGGGGAAAATATCTTTTCTGTTTGTGCCCAGGAATACTCCTGCTAGCACAGCAGCCTCAGAGATGGTGCAACCACCCTCAGAGCTCAGGTGTTTCCTCCTGAAATAAGTGGGATTAGTTTTAATCGTGGAAAACCTATTCCAGAAAGGGAATCTCCTCCTCTTGGGGAACAATGCAGAGCCACCACTGCCAGCTCGGGATCTGCAGGGACCTGTATATCACGTACTCTTTAATTTAATAGCCTGGAAAATGTGAAGGTCTGCCTGCATGTCATTAAAGTCCCAGTGAAACCCCTGGGAGTGTGTTTGCCAATGCTGGCCCCAGCAGGGCTTGGGGCTGTCCCTCTTTCACCCCCACAGCTCCAGAAGAGCAGGATGTCCTCAGTTTCCCTCCCTGTCCTCACATTGCACTTCATATTTTTTAAGCTCTTTTGAGCTCTTTGTCCCTCCCAAGGTCCTTCCCCTCTCACTGTGTTATGCTGCAAGAAATACAGAAAGAACCAGATGGGAACTGATAGACTGCAGGAAAAAAAGTGTATTCATTAAAATGGCAAAATGAACCACATTTCCCCTTATTAATTCCCTCCTTGCAGCATTTCCAGTCCAAGCATGTACCTGTGATGCTTCCATGGACCCGTGTGGTCCAGGAGCACCCCTGAGGTGTGTGTGTGCGCGTGTCTGTGAGTTTCTTGGTTGTCTGAGCAACGGGACGTTCATCACTAACTCCCAGGATAATTAACTCATTCTCCTGTATTTATAGCAAACCAGTACAGGGAGTGTTGGCACTTATCCCTGACAGAGCCACATTTGGCCACAACGTTTTGAATTTTGGCTGTTTCTTGCATTACAGCAGCTTTGTCATCATCCCTGCTGCCTGCTCATTAAGTGGGCAGCTCATTAAGCTGACAAGGGCAGGGCTGATGGTGGCTGCCTGAGCCAGGCTGCCCATGGGTGCCTGCCTCGGTGTGCCCCACTGCTGGTTTGCAGGTGCAGGGAGGGTTTGCAGCAGCATTCCCATCTCCAGATGCCTGCATATGCCTGTGCTAACAGCAGCGTCGCTCCTGGCTTGCCTGCTGGCAAGGGGAGATTTTACTGCTTCAAGGTTTGTTGCAGGGATCTGATGCAAGGAAACGTTGGAGCATCCTGACTCAGCACCGCAGCGGAGGGGGACCCGTGGGAAAGACACGGAGCATCTTCTCTCAGCATCAGGGCATGCGTGTGCCAGGTATGTTCCCGTCAGCTGGGATAATCCTGACCTGCGCTCGGATTTCTCGTTTCTTCCAGAGAAGCAACTTGGTACTTTTTAGCTGTTCTTTCTTTTTGCTGCTTGTTTGTTCTCTTGGTCTTTGGGGAGGGAGGGGTGAAGGAAGCAAGGGGAAAGGGGCTCGGAGTGGGGGGGGTGTGGTGGGGCTGGAGGAGGGCTCATTGCAGCAAGGTGTTGTTGCAGAACTGGGGAGACAGATTTGATCTCTGCTGTTCCTGTTATTTGTACAAAGGTAAGGAATACTTTATTTTGGAATCAGCAAACAGGAAGGTGCTTGAAACAGTAGGAAATGTGCTGTACCTGCAGCTGGGACTGTAAACAGCTTGTGACCACAGGAGTTGAAAGTGTCTGTGTCCTTAAAACGTGAGCTCTACTCAGGTAAAAAGGGCAATGAAATCAAGCGTGGGGGACAACCACACTGCTCATCACTCCCCTGCCACCCCTGTTGTAGGGAGGGTTCTACCTTTCCCTCCTCCTCCTGCTTTGCCTCCAGAAGGGAAAGGGACAGAGGTGTTGTGCTGGTGCTGCTTGGGTCCTGGGAAGGTCCATCCTGCTAAATGCCATTGTGATCCTCTCCCAGGAGCCACTGTAGGACTCTGGACAGTGTGGGATCCCCCCTCTCCTGCCTGGTCACCCCTGCTGCTCCTGCCCATGACCCCAGATCTGGCACTTGAAATGGAGGTAGATCATTAAGGTTTAACACACTAATGGGAAGGGTTGTGGGGTTTCTAAAAAACAGAGCCCTGCTTACAAACTCCCTTTGGAAGGACGAGTCCTTGAACCGAGCACAGCTGCCCCAGCACAGGCTCAGCCAGCTCTGGTATGACCTATTCCCAGCAGGATGCTGGCAGACAGTGACTGGTTCCATGGTCCTGGCCACCACTCCTGCTTTCCCAGCTGCTCAGCCACCTTGCAAAGAGCTAAAAATATATGTCTGTGTGAGCAGTCACTGTAGCTACAGCAGGGGTGAGCCAGAGAGGGTGGCCAGGCTGGGTCACCGTGGTGGGGGGACACAGTGACTTTGCAAAATGGGCAACACAGAGGGGACAGGCAGGGACAGGATGGGACAAGACAGAATGGGACAGACTGCTGCTGGTACCTCCAGTGCAGATCCCACCATCTCCCCACTTTTGTTGACGCTGCAGCACTACACAGCCCCTAAGATGAGGTTTGCTTTGCTGCTTGTGTTTCAGCAGGGGATGAGCGAGGAGCAGCTCCCTGCATCTCCCCACTGCCCCACCACGCAGGAGGACACCAATGTCTCGGCCTCTGCGTTCCCCCAGTACTGGGTGGAGCCCCGGTTCACCCCAGCAGCCAAGGTCCGTGTGATCATCACAGCCATGTTCTTCCTGCTGGCAGCAGGCAGCAATGCAGCCGTGCTGGGCAGCCTGCTGAGGAAGAGGAGGAAATCCCACGTGCAGCCGCTGATCCTCAGCCTGGCACTGGCTGACCTGCTGGTGACAGTGATGGTGATGCCTCTGGATGCAGCATGGAACGTGACAGTGCAGTGGTATGGAGGGGACATCTCCTGCAAGGTCCTCAACTTCCTCAAGCTCTTTGCTATGTACGCTGCTGCCCTGGTACTGGTGGTCATCAGCCTGGACCGGCACGCAGCCATCCTCCATCCCTTCTCCCGTGCTCACCGCCGCAACGGGATGCTGCTCCGTGCTGCCTGGGCTGGCAGCGTGCTCCTGGCTTTGCCCCAGGTAAAGTTCAGTGTCCTCCCCATGGAGTTTGCCTAGGCTGGGTGGTTTTGGAAAAGGGCTTCTCCATCCCAACATCCCCAACAGTCCATCCCAATCCATGGACTCCACAGGCACCAGAATAAGGCATGAGTTTGGTGCCCAGAGCCTGTCTCCCAGTCTGACACCAGCAGGAAGGTGCTCTCCATGCACAGCCAGCAGCATCTCTAGGATGTGGTGCTCTATTCCAAATTCTTTCTGAGCTTTTATTTGGTTCTCCATTTCAGCTTTTCCTCTTCCACCTGAACACAATCCCAGGAAGGAATTTCACCCAGTGTGTTACTCATGGGAGCTTCCGAGCACACTGGGAGGAAACTGTCTACAACATGTTCACCTTCACCACCCTCTACATCACCCCCCTGAGCGTCATGATCGTCTGCTACATCCGCATCCTTTGGGAGATCAGTAAGCAGCTAAAGGTCAATAAAGGTAAGTAGATCCCAGCCCTTAAATGTCCTCCATGAATGAACTTCTCCATCTTGAAATTGTTGTTGGGTGTGTCACAACATCCTTTGAAAGCTAAGAAGTTTTGCACAAACTAACTAAGAGGTTTTGCACAAACTTATTGACCCCAGCCCTTGCTGTCTTCTGCATCCTGTGGGACACAGAGCAGATTATGAGATGGTCTTCCCTCTCTGGCAGAAGCAGAGTCATGGATGGTTATGTTGTTTTGGTTTTCCTCTATCTTCAACTATCTTTTTGACTCTCCTTGGCAGGTTTGACAAGAAATCAAAACGAACACATCTCCAAGGCACGCATGAAGACTCTCAAGATGACCATAGTGATTGTTGCCACCTTCATCATCTGCTGGACCCCTTACTATCTCCTGGGCTTGTGGTACTGGTTCCAGCCAGCCATGATCCAGAAGATGCCGGAGTATGTCAACCACAGCTTCTTCCTCTTTGGTCTGCTGCACACCTGCACTGACCCTATCATTTATGGACTGTACACCCCTTCCTTTCGGGAGGATGTGCAGTTGTGTCTCAGGGGCATTGAAACAGCCATCACCAGGCAAAAGAGACATAAACCCATCTCAGCCTCAGAGAAAAACACCAAGGATGGTGCTGCAAATGCTGGGGTGGCATCAGGGGGCTCCAACGGGACAACTGTCAGCACGGTCTGATGAAGAGATGTACCCACAAGGGGATGGCAAGCACAGCTTTGGGACTGTTTTGTCCTGTAAGACCATTTTGGAGACTGTCATGACAAGGTTCCCTACTCACCTTTAGTGGGTGAGGGTTTCTGGCCAGAAACTGAGAATGTGTCTTCTTCCTGTACTCAGGGTGAAAAATTTGGGGGTATTTCTGGTCATTCTGCTGTATTCTGGCGGTGGTGTGACAACTAGAAAAATATCCTTTTTGTATTTGACACATGCTCCAGCCCTGATTCTGGGATCAAGCTTCTCCACACTTCCAGCATCAACCTCTGGGAGGAAATTTACCATCTCCTCTGTGGCCCAGGTCATGTCTCTGGAGTGCTGGTCTTCAAGTGCCCTTTGCACCTACACCCAGCTGTAGAGCTGCATGGATGGTGCCACCCTGAGCCTGCAAAGGTGTGATCACAGGCTTTTACTCTGTTTTCTTCACCCATTGTAGGAAAAGCTCTCTGGAAATTTCAGATCTCCTGACTCAGAACCTGCCTGGTTCTCCCATGGCTGTGTGACAAGCCCTGGGAAAGATCTAAATATCTGGAGGTTGACTAATGCAGGGGCATTCCTACCCCAGGCATGGTGGGCAGGGAGGGAGTGCTGTGGGGATGGAGGGACTCAGGCAGGAGTGGTACAAAGAACCACAGCAGGGTGGGGTGAGGTTTCTTCTCTCTTCTGAAGAGACCCAGAAGGGAAAACAGTCCCTGCTACTGTTTTCTGGTGTGAAGGGGATGGTACAGACAGACAGACACATCATTACACAGCAGCTCTGTGGGGCACAGGGCAAACCAGGAGAGAGAGTATTTGGGGTAATGAGAACCAGACCTGACACTGCCCCTTTCTGTCCCCATGTCCAGAGCTCAAGCTGGCAGGCTGCAGGCCACATGCAGGCCACATTTGCTTTGCCCTAAGCAGCACCAGCCCCTCAGCTCTGCCTCAGCAGAGCAGGTGCAGCCACCCCACAGGTGTGTTTGAAGTGTCCCAATGATGGAAGGGATGGGATGCAGCTGGTAGGGGTCCACCAACACCTTTAGTGCCAGATGGAGGTAAATGAGGGCAAGGAGGACTTTTGGAGAGATCAGCTGAGCTGTGGTGAGTAACATGGGTTGTTTGCTTTCTACCATAGTGCCAAAGTTGCTTGTGAAGGCAGAAGTCTCTTCTCTGGGTGTGGGTTGAAGAGATGAGGTTTTTTTCAACTGTGTTGTCCTTTCCAGGTAATTAGAAATAGTGGATTATTTCTTTTTTTCATTCTGTGTTGGTTGTTATTAAATGTGGGGTTTGCTTTTGAAGAGAAATTCAGTTTTAAGCCAGGTGGGTTGTTGTTTTCTTAGTTTAGTTAAAGCTTTGGACAGCTCAGGAGCTCTGGACTTGGCAGGAGGCAGTTTCTTGGCTATTTTTGTGGCCACTGCAGCTTTGAATGAGCATCTGGACTTTATCAGGATGAAAGAGCTTTGTTTTAAAAACAACCCTTGTCTTGCTGTGGTTGCGTGTGTGGGGAGCTGGGAGATGTCTTCCCCTCTAGAAAACAAATCTCCTTTGGGCACTGAGGGGGGTTTTTCTCAACCCTGTTTCCAAGAGGTGTTGGCTCCCCATCAGCCAGAAAGGATGTGCATTGGTCTCCCAGTTCACCAGCTAACAAATCATTGAAATTAGAGGGGTGGCAAGCAGTCCTTGCAGGCTGGCTGAGGCTGGGCAATGAGGGCACAGGAAGCCACAGTGCTCACAGTGATGCTGAACTGCACTTGGGTATCCAGCCCTTGCCCTTCTGGTACTAATTATTATTTATGCTAAACATGTAGCCCAAGGAGAAAAAAAAATCAATTAGAACTGCAGGAGCCCAGACCAACTGGTGGGGACAAGCGTGAGCCGTTTAGGAAGCATCCAAACTCCAATGAGATGCGTAATCGCAGCTTGGCTTTGCTGGGCTCGTTCTGCTCAAAGTTAATTACCCAATGCTAACAGAGCAGGGGGGGCCTGATGCCAGACTGGCAAAAAAGGCTTCTTGTAAGGTGATGGGAATGGCTTGCAGTAGGGGAAGCTAATTTATTCATCAGACACTCCTTTGGTCTCTTTGTTTGTACTGCTGATGGGAGGCAGACCTTGAAGGTGTGTTAGTTTTCTGGCAAGCCTTGAATAAGTAGGAAAGTGTCTTTAATCTACTGAAAATTGTCTTCATCCACTTTTTGCTGAGTGGGAGAGAACAGATACAACATTGCTCATACACGTCTCCTCTTGCCCAGCAACAGGAGAGCTCGGAGATCTTCTCTGAGGAGCAAGAAATACTTTTTTTCCTTGTGGGAAGGATTTTACACCCCATGGGTACAGTGAAAAGGCAGAAGTGGATTTGGATTTAGGGGGACTCTGATCTTGCAATAATTTAGATTGGAAAACATCTCTACTCTATGAAGAGTAGGAAAATGGGAATTCTGGCAAGCATATGTACCTTAGTCCTTAGGGGAAGCATGGCACATTCCTTGGGATTCTTGCAGGCACTCCAGTGCTGCTCCTTTTGCCCATCTCTTTCATACCTTCCCTCCTGTTGCTGATGTTCAAAGTGACATCTTGTGGAGTCTGGAGTGTGGGCAAGGTGCCCAAAGTGACAGCTTTTATGAGAGAAGGAAAATGTCACTGGGAACGTGTGCTGCTGAGCCATGTGGCCACTGCATGCAGCAAGGGGGAGCAAGCAGGTGGGCAGCACCTCCCTGGGGAAGCTGGGATCAGTCTGGGTCCTGCCAGAGGTGGGCCAAAGCCCAGGCCTGGTTTGTATATTCCTGCATTTCTGATTCTGCTTTTCTTGTATTTGCTCACACTTTAGAAAGCACAAGATTCTTGCATCGCTTCTTAGGAGCATGAATCCCCAAGTCTCGCTTTCCCCCCAACCCAGGGGTGCTTCTGCTTTCTGTGGTGCTTCCTTCTCTCTCCCCCCACTGCCTCAAACCCTTTGTCTCCAACAGCACCTGCCCTTCTCCTCAGCTGGCTCCTGAGATCTCTGTATATAAATATATATAAAATAGAGAGAGAGAAAATACTTTTTATATTTATTATCTATTTATGCTTGTTGGAGGAAAATTCTCCTGCTTCCTCAAAACCTGCTCATTCCCACCAAGGAAACACCAGTTACCACACTTCTTGCAGTCCCAGGCAGGATCAGATTTGTCTAATTTGGTAACAATTCCCTAATATTCACCACAGTAATGTAATGAACATATTAATAAGAGCAGGTAGCTCTGTATTTTACAACTCCTCGACCTCACCCTGGGCCGCCTGCTTCAAACACAGCGGCCCTTTGTTCGGGAGGAAATTCTGATTCATTCCCTGTTAGTGTTTTTATAGCACTGTGCATGTTCAAAGAGCCACGCAAGTGGCTTAAGAGGCTAACACAAACCTTGGGTTAATTCATAATACTGTTAGTTACTCAGCACAATACCCACATTAATCCAGCTGACTGCCCCTCGCCACGTTGGGAAACACATGCTGAAATCAGCAGGGAGCTCCGAAAACAAGCGTGGGAGTAGGATATTAAGTATTTTGCCAGGCTGCTAGGTAGGATCTGAGCACCTTAAATGTATTTAAAATATTTTCCCACTGCTGTTGCCTCGCTCCACAGCTGTGGAGCTGAAGCAATGATGAGGCTGTGCCCAGAATCCCTGCAGGCCTGAGCATGAGGAATGGGGCTACAAGCTCTCCAAGGGATACTCCAGACACATCCATCAGCCCCCACCTGAAACCACCTCCTTTTTTGGGGTCTATTCAAACTGATCAAAGCAGAAAAAGCTGGTTTTGTTGTTTTTTTTTTTTTCCTTTGATACCTGCTGATTTCATTGCAGAGCTGGATGTGTGTGTCTGCCATGAGCCCCCACAATGCTTGCTCTCTGGGGACATAGCCTGGAACTATTATTACTTCTGCTTACTCTCAGAAACTTTCCTATGCAAAGAAACCCAAAGAAAAGAGTTTTAAATCCCTGCTGTGTTCTTTTCATCTGGCTCAGGAGCTCCCAGGTTTGTGCCTTTCCCTGCAGTGCAGCAGACAGCCATGCCACAACTGCTGCTCAACCTCCTTCTTTTCCAAAGGGCCCCAAACAGCCCATCTGTTCCAAAAGAAGGGTTTTTTTTTCAAACAAACCAGGCTTTTACAAAGCAGTACCCTTTAGACAGCATAAAATACCTCCAGGTTTTCTGGCTGGCACATTATCTCCCCTAAACTTGTATATTTACATGGCACGACATTTAATATAACATGCTGAGGAAGACAAAAATAGGCAAATATTCCCACGACCCTTTTGCACATCCCAAACCCCAAGTTTCTGCACTGAAATATCAAGGAGTAAACTATAAAGTAGTTGAACATGCTGCACAATAAATTATTTGTTTATGTATATTTTAATTGCAAATCTCTGCTATAATTAGCACGGACACTTCTTGGGCTGAGGCGCTGCAGCGTCCTTTGACAGTGAGCATTATTAACAGGCTCTTAAAGGCAATGGGGAATTGGATTATAATGTTCTTGTTTTGCAAGCTGTATGGTGAATAAATAAATTTGTTCTGGCAGCAAAATTAACCGGGATAAATGTGTCTAGCTCCAGTCACCAAGAAGAGGGGTTGCTGTAAATGAACTTGTTCTCAGCCTTGAATTAAAAAACTTGATTACCAGGACATTATTTCTGGCAATTAGGTACCAGAACATCAGAAAAATAAGAGATTTTCTTTGAAATATTTAATGAGTAAGCTAGTAATCACATAATCATTTGCTGGAAATATGTGATGAGTTGGGTTTTTTTTTGTGGTTAGGGTTCACTGTGCAATGAAAATCTGCATATATCCAATCTACTAAAGGCTGGACTGTAAGACTGAACTGTGGCACCTATCTGACTTTTCTTAGCCTAGAATCCCTGGGTCTTCATGGGACTACCCCATGCCCAGTCACTAATCAGAGGACAGTGCTTTGCTCCCTTTTCTGTTTCAGGCAGTTGGAGGTTGCTTTGCAAACACAACAAACAGCAAACACAGATGACTTGACTGGAGGGAGAGAGGAGAGAGCATTGCCCTCTGTATCTTGCATTACTAACTTGCACATTGTGTATTCTCTAACAAATCCCCAGTTTGGTAAGAACAATCCTTATTCAGTATTGATGCTGAAAACCCTGGGTTTGTCTAATCTGCACAGTAAGCTAGGATAAGATAGATCACGGCTGAGACCACAAGCCTTGTAGATGTTTGTGCTGGTTTTGTCCAGGATACAATGAATTTTCCTCATAGCAGTGCAGTAACTATGTTTTGGATTTGTGCTTAGCTGCCAGCTGGGATTAAAACACAACAATGTTCTACAGAGGGGAAAAAAAACATACTAGAAACCGTTTAAGTTCTTCCATTTGGCGGTTGTTTTATTTCTTGCTGATTTTTTTCCTTACAATCATTATGCTCAAATATAAAAATTCCTGGCCAAAGTTAGTTTTAAAATTTTAAAAGTAATTCCATCTGCATTGATACATGCCAAACATCACGAGATTCAGTTTCTGAAAACACGCTGATAAGACTCCCAAACAGGTTGCTTTGCCTGACATCCAGAAAAATCCTCCTTTCCAACTTGTGCAAACATACTTCAGCTTGACAGAAAATAAGTTACACCTGAGTGTTGCCATGCTTAGTTGTCATTAATCTTAAATAACCTTTTTTCCATGGACCCTTAACGATTGGCTCATGCTAAGCTGCACCACAGTGATCCTTTTCAGCTGTACTAGGCATCCTCATGAATTCCAGGAACACAGAAATAAGAATAATTGCAGAGATGCCATGAGGATTAATATATTGGTGACAGAAGTGGGCACCTTTATTTCCAGAGCTCTGGAAGATAGGCAGTGCACTGCAGATCAGCTATTGTTAAGGCACGTGGTGAAATGAACAGTTTATCATCTCGCTGGTTCATCTCTCCGAGTCAAACATTCTGTGCCAGTAGTAGATGAAGGTTGGTGAGCTGCTGGCCCCTATCCCTATCAGCAACAGCAGGTACAGCATCATCATTACAGCAAAACGGTGGGTGTAGAACCAGGAAGATTCATTAGAAGGCCTGAAAGGGGAAAAGGGCATGAATTCTGTCAGAGATGCACAAATATCTTGGCAAAAAGTATTTTAGGCTTCATTATTTTAAGCAAATACTATAAAAACAGAAAGTTGTTCCACAATCTCTGTAACTAAGGCAGCCTGATTTCCACCACATCCCTTTTCCTTAAGTCTCTGTGCACAATCCTGTCTTTTCTCCCCATGTTCACACCTTTCCCTGTGGTCTGGAGCTGTAGCTGCCTGGCCTGCAGACATGTGTTGAGTAGCTGAGTGAACACTGCCACTTAGGATAGATAAGGGCAGAGTTAAAACTGAGGCAGTTGTAAGAGGTGCACTGACCAGACATTCACTCTTGGATTCCTGCCACAAACAGATAATTAGACCTCTCAAAGACTCTAAGTGCTTACAGGTCCGGTAAAAAAAGCAAATTTAGCTGAGCCTAGGAATGTCAAAGAGCAAGGCAGAGGCAACATGATGGTGTAAGACTTATTTCCATAGGAAACAGGCTACAAACAAATTCTGGCAGTGCAGTTTATCTTTCTTGGTTGTTTTCTATTGTTTTTCAACAATGAGATTTGTTTATCTGGCTGTTGTAGCAGCTCATCCCTCTAGACAGCTGAACTCTTACCTCCTATGCTGCTTCTGTGAATACACTAGCAAGTATTTAACTCGTAAAAGCTGGTTGTTTGTGACAACAAAGTATTTCTGTGGTACGTCTCCCCCTTCGCTGTTTTTCACTCTTGCTCTTTTTCTGTCTATTTCTTCTGAATCTGAATTGGGAAAAGAAAAAAAATTGCAGAACTTCAAGTAACTGTAAAAAAAGTAAACAACCAACACCCCCATACACACCCCCCAGAAGAATGGGAACGAGATAACCAAAAATCTAGTCTTGGTATTCCCCTGAATCCCTCAGCATCCAAGAATAGAGTGAGAAGTTTGCTTGAGGCTATACCACTCCTAGTCATCCTTGGTATGGATGACATTATGGCCCAGACCAGGGTGACAAGGAGGTAAATCTCCCATCCAGTGCTCAAGGAGCCACTGATATTAACACGGAAAGAAAAACAACATGAAGGACAGATGTAACTGCTACACAGTTATTACTGTGCTAGCCTCACCTTTCTTTTTCACCTGACACTTTACATCTGGGTGGTCAATGATCTCACAAACAGCCACACAGCTGAGGACAGAGCCCAGTGCACTTCGCTGCCAGCCGAGGCCATGAGGGCTGTACAGCAGAGCCAGGCTCAGGTCACTGGTCAGATAGGTGCCTTCACCAAACAGGGATGTCTGAAACAGAGCAGAAATCCACCCTAAAATCATGTGCTGCAAACCTCAAACAACATACAAGTGTTCTTTCCTTTCAGACTGGCAGTTCTGCTCCTGAAGGTAAATTACGAAAGGCCTTTCTGACCCATGCTGGGCCTGGTCCATGCACTGTTTTTGTCCTGGCACAACTTCCTTGGGGTGGGGCTGCTGCCCTCTCCCATCCCTCAAATTAGCTGCTTGGCAGAGCACTTGGTGTGGACAGATTCATGCTTTCCCGGATTTGGAGTTAGTTTGCCAGCAAAAGTATTTTACATCAACATGACTGGACTGCTGTTAAAAGCCATTTCATCGATTTATTGAGACTGTCATCATTCAAGTAATCTAAACTCCCCAAACAAGACAAGGCTTTACTTAATTTAAATCCATGCTTTACTAGAAAAGAGGAAAGAACTTTTCAATTTGCCACACTGGCTAAAATTATTACTCCAGTAAGTCCATTGTACCCAGTAAACCATTACTCATTGAGAATGTGGGGAAAAAACACAATCCAGGTTGACTGCAATGTCAAGCAGGTGCTGTGTCAAAGCTGCCTCACAGCTGACACAAAAAGCCAGGAATCTCAACTTCCCTTCCACTGAAATCAGAAGAGGTGCAAATCCTGTGGGATGTCTCCCTGAACCAGACCATTTTAAGAAGGCTCCACTGGCAAGTAGCACCTGAAACTTTGCTGAATACAAGGCCAGGCAGAAAATCTCCACTATCCTCTGTCTCTGCAGACAGGCACTTCCCAGCTGCAGGCTGTCAGACAGGACAGGATTTTCAGAGGAATTACACTTCCTTATAAAGAAGCAAAAGACAGTCATAATTTGTCACACTGGTGAAAAGGGTTTCATGCCACTTCCAATTTTTACCCTCAGGCTGCACTAGAAAATCCAACACAGCCATCTGCGAAGGCCTACACTGAAATGAACAGAGCAGAACAAGAGCATCAGCACATTTCATACCCCAAAAGGAATCTGGGCCTATTTTTAAAACACGTCCCCAGCTGCAAGTGAGCAAGGGAAGATGGTGTCAATGGCAGGAGCCTCACCCTGTTCAAGTGGCAGTGCAGGCCGTGGTGCAGGATGGAATGGAAGTTCTCCAGGCGGCTCCCGTGGAAGGCGTAGATAAGGTCCCGCTCTCCCTTGGTCTCAGCAAACTTAGTGTTCATTTGATCACAGTACATGACCTCAAAGAGATAGTCTGGAGCAGGAACTGCAGCCCCAGACATCCCTGTGAGTTCCTGGATCTTCTCGTACTTAAAAACAGGAAGGAATATCAATGTTGGTTTATGTGGTTAGATTACTCACTGGAAATTGTGCTTCCCGTCCCTTCGTAGTGTTCAATGGATTCTGATTATGCTTTTCTGAGTTAGAATTCAACACTCTCACAATTCACAAGGAGTAAGTGCACAGTAAAAATCCTGCCGGTTTCTTGCTATTGAAGTTAATTCTTAATCTTGTCTCCAGAAAAAAACCCCAAACCTGAATTGTAATTATGAATTAATGTATTATGCAAGGACAATATCACAATTCTGCTTTGGCTGTTAAGACAATATATTCATCAGCTGATCTTGCAAGAGGAAAAAACCAAAAACAGAAGCTGTTTTCAGCTTACTGCTAATCTCTACAACTATTTTGATCCCTGTTACAGAAGTGCCTGAGTGGCGCTGAACCTTTCCCTTTTTGGGGCAGAAGACAAGAGTTGTCTTTCTCAGTGACAAGCAGGACCCAGCTCCATGACACCCAAATTGGACTCTCTCAGCCTAAACCATGCACGTGCATGCTATGTTAGCTGCAGTAATCAACTACAATCACTGTCCATCATCAACTACTGACATTGGTAACTGTTTCTTCCAACCAGTGTTCCTGAAAATTTACTTTAAAACATCCCTCTCTATATACAGAGAAGAATGGATTCATGTTCAGCTGTCATGCTCTCACAATAACCAACTTAATTCTGGGAGGAGGAAATAGTGTCTGAAGAGCAAGTTTGCCTCAAAAACCAAATTCTAATTTAGATTTTCAGAATTCAAAACTTACCTCCTGTTTCTTAGTACTTTGTATCATGAAGACTTTAGATGATAGAATCCAACTAAACAGCTCCCAGGTCCTTGTATCTGTATTTGGAACAGATTCCAGAAGCTCTTTGAGGCTTGGTAGAGCCTTGGTATCTGCAAGCTAACAACAGGGGCATTCAGCACAGGCTCCTTAGTGCCATTGCGATTAAACAGGGACCTCTAGTGAAAACGAAACAATATTTCACCCCAAGCAACTGAAAACCAGGTTCTGTTCTGAGATATAAACACTTGTTTCCAGTTTGTGGGGAAGTTTGTCAATTGCTCTGAACGCAAATAGCAGGCAAGTTACAAACAGTGATATTTACCAACGCAATCTGTACGTTTTGTACAGAGAGACGCACTCCTGAAAGAAAACAATCTATCACAGGACAGCATGTGCAGTGGACCTGACATGGGAGTGTTCAGGCCACGTAACATGCAAATCCTTCAATATGAATTTGAATTTAACGTTGGCAAGCTCTCATAACACTTCACAGAATATTAGAAACATTCAGGGTGGAAAACACGTCTGAGATTACCGAGTCCAACCCTTAGCCTAACTTTGCCAAGCCCACCACTAAACCATGACCCCCAGTGCCACATCTACGTGTTTTCTGAACACCGCCAGGGATGGTGATTCCACCACTTCCCTGGGCAGCCTGTGCTAATGCCCAGCCACCCTTTCAGGGTAGAAATGTGCCAGAATCCTCAATCTTGAGCCGCTTGAGGCCGCTCCCTCTCGTCCTGTCGGCTCCCTACCTGTTATCTATGGCTTTTTATTTCACGTGCTGTCCACACCGGATCTGGGCACTTCCCAGTGTGGATTTATCAGTCAGAATCCCAAATACTCTTTTAAACCTGGATTTCTTGACTGGATAAACCTTTCATCCTACTTTATCCGTGACCCTTCGGCGCCGCTGCCCTCACCTCTGCGGGCAGCCCGTGCTCCCCCATCGGGGGAGGTGCCCTGGCGCCTCGGGCAGCCTCCCCGGGCCGGCCCCAGGCACTCACCAGCCCCTCGAAGTCCTTGCTGTCGCCGCTGGCGTAGCGGCCCGGGAAGGGCCTCAGCACCGAGTCGCGCTTGTAGCTCTGCAGCGCGGCGGCGAACAGGCTGCACCGCAGGTCGGCGGCCAGCGGGTCCCGCCGCGCCGCCTCCCTGGCGCCCAGGGTCGCCTCGCCAGGGCCGGGGCCCGGGGCTGACATGCCCGGCGGGGGCTGCCGAGCACCGGCCGCTCCGACAAGGCGGCAGCGCCCGCCCCGCCGGCGTCGCCCCTTCCGCCGCCGGGGCCGCGGCGTGGCCCCGCCGCCCCGCCCCGCAGCCGCCTCCGCCCGCCCCGCGCCGCTCCGGAGCCGCCGGTCGGTGCGCCTTCGGGAGCGAGGGCGGCGGGCGGTTGTGCCCCGTTACGTGGGGACGGGGAGAGGGGACGGAGGTCTGGGAGAATGGCGCCTTCGCCTCCGGTAGAGACCGGAGATTATTACAGAGGACAGTGGCATCTTCCCCTTAGGCAGAGGCCGGGAGCGGGGTTCAGGGACAGAGTGGCATCTTCCCCTCAGGCAGAGGCCGGGAGCGGGGTTCAGGGACACAGTGGCATCTCCCTCTCAGGCAGAGGCCGGGAGAAGGTTCGTGGGGAATAGCGCCTTCTCCTCAAGCAGAAATCGGAAGATGTGTACGAAAAGGAATGGCACCTTTGCCTCAGGTAATGACCTGAAGAAAAGTATGACGAGGGAATGGTGCTTTCCCCTCAGGATGAGACTGAGGGAGGTGCCGTGGGAAAATGGCGCCGTCACCTCAGGTGTTGATCAAGAGTTGGGTAGAGTGGGCCATGGCACCCTCCCCTCGGGGGATGACCAGGAGAGGAGTAGAGCCAGGAATGGCACCTTGCCCTCAGGTAGAGATTGAGAAAAGGGGTACAGTGAAAAATGGGGTCACCCTCACAGGTAGAGACTGGGAGAGGGGTATGGGAGAATGGTGCTTTCTCTTCAGGTGGAAACTGCGAGAGGCCTACAGGGTACAGCAGCATCTTAATTCTCAGGTAGTGACCTGGAGGGAGTAAAGGGAGCAATTGCATGTTCCTCTCAGAGACTGGAAGGGTTTATGGGTCAGGAGGGGAAATGCCACCTTTACCTCAGATACAGACCAAGTCAGGCCCCAAGACCGTGGGGCAAAGAGGACATGGAGGGGGACCCCAGCTCTTGATACCCAGAGTGCCAGCACATCAGGACCCTATGGCAGGGGACAGAGGGGGGACACTGACAGTGTGCTGGGGTGTTAATTGCACAGTGGCCATGTCAGGTGGCTTGTGCCCCATCCTCTGCACAGCACAGGGAGGGTCCCAGGGCCCTGCCCTCAACTGCTGGGGCCTGGCAGATACAAACTCCCATCTTGGGCATTGCATTTGTGTGAAACAGCAGATTAACTAGAAGGGTTATCTAAGGAGACTTTTGTGTCAAGTTTGGTTTTATGTAGCTCTAATTTTAACAGACTTACTTAAGTCAAAAACATGTTGATGTCATTACTCCTCAACAATTCCCTTTGTCATCCAAATTTGTAGTCTTGAGGAAGAATCCAGGTTTGTCTGAGTCATCTCTGCAGGCTGGCATTGCAGGATTAAGGGAGAGGAATTCACATTTTAATTGAACCTCTTCATCAGGTTGCATTCCCTATGTTGCTTGAAATTGAGGCTCAGTGTTCCTCCCTGGAATGCTGGTGTGGTGTTAGTGCTGTGAAGCCTCTTTCCAGTCCCAAAATGTCTTCGAAATTCCCATCATCAAGGTGGAAGCCTCATCAGCCCACATGCTGTTAGATATCAGATATTGGTATTTTGAGTAAAATTTTGGAAATGTATAGCAATATTTGAGGTCTTCTAACACCTTTCTTGGTTTCTTCATTCAGGAGGGATATTGCACATATCCACGAAGGAACTGATGCAGGCATGCACAGATGCTCAGAAAAATGCTAAGGTCAGTTGTGAATACCTTTTACTGGGCTCTCATCTTGTAGCTGGATTTCCAGAGATAGCTGGAGCTGCAATTGGCAGCCTTCTTTAATAGGAACACCAGCTGTGTTATATCCTGTCTAAGGTGAAACTGGTCAAAAGCAAAAAAAAAAAAAGGGAACTTGATTCCCAAGGTGCAGAATTCCCATTCTTAATCATCCGCTTGAATGACTTGAAATTTTCAATAATTCTGAATACACTTAATAATTATGAAATTTCAAAATTTTGGATATAACCAGATAGATCATAGCCTGTGCACTGTTGCATTAAATTGTAAGATATTTCACAATAATATATATAATTGAATTGAGTTTTAGCTTTGTTTACTTGCTTTTTACTAGTTTATCCAGAAAAGCACCTTTCCATAGCAGCTGCATCAAAAAGTCTGTAATATTAAGCCATCATTTCTAGGACATGACAAATACTTGCTTGGGTCTGACATATTTAATGACAGCATGTAGACAAAATTATTTTAAAGGTGCCTTTAGTTTATGTTACCCAATTTAGTAGATACCTGTACATGTTTTTATCTTTAGAACATTGTCCGGTCTGTGAGATCTGTGCTATTTTTCAACTTGCTTGCTCCAGAGGTTCTCCCACATGCCAGCAGCATGGATGGGTGCCCTAAGAAGAGAGCTAGCACCACACAAAGCCTTTTCTCAGGAGTTATGGAAATTACCCAGACTTGAAATGCAGCTGGAGTGATTCCATTCCATATTTCTATATCCTTGAGAGGATGTATTTTACTTTATCTGATGTGGTGCCTTATTCTGCTGTAAATATCTGATATCTCTGACAGGCTGTTAGCAACATCATTCAGTGATCCAGCTCAGGACATGTTTATTATCTCCCATGATATTAAATTGTTCTGTGTGATCCTTTTTTTCAAAATCAGTCCTTGGCTGTCTAATTGGCTGATATCATTCACTAATAAATCATTAGATGTAATATTTTTTGGTGCCTGTTGAAGAAGTTTAGAAAATGGTAGAGATGTCTCTTTCTATGCATTTAGGTGGAATTTTATGTTGTGATTTTGAGCTTTTGAACTGATGTTAATAATCCCTGTGCCCTCATTTAAGATACCAATTACTGTGTTAGAGGAAAGAGGGGGACTATTACTTTTGATATGTGTGGGACAAGTAATGACACACCACATAGGAAAAGGTGTGTCTCTTGTTTGGGAATTTCTGCATTCTGTATCTTCTACCTCCAGGTTTGCCCAGGGCTGTGGTTTTGGGACAGAGCATGGGGTCAAGAGCAGGACGTGCAGGACACTGCCAGCTGGGGCCCTGCTGTTGGAAGTGGGGCATCCTGGCATGTGATTAAGGAGTGGGAATAGACAGTAGTCCCTGAGGAGAAGCTGGAAAAGACAGACAGTGTGGTGAAATGGGAATGGAGAGCTGGAGGGGAAAGGTTTTCCTTGGAACCACATCAGTTCTGGGGATGCTGGGCTTCCCATGCCATCCCTTTTTATATTACTCTAAGAGAGTCAAAATGCAGTGAAAGACCTTCTGTGACCTTGTTATGGTTTAAAAAATGAACCCAAAATAGATCTAAAATGTCACTGGCACTTTAATGGTTAATGGAGATTGTGAGAGCATTGATCCAAAACCGATGCCTACCTTTGGGATTCCAAATGGATGGGGCTCCCATTACAGCAGGCTCAGCTGCATTCCCAGTGACAGATACTGATGAGATAACAAGTTTGCTGTATCGATGCTGCCTGAGAGTGCTGCCTGCTCAAACTCATTGAATATGGGGCTAAACCCTGTTTTACAGAGCTGTTCCTAAGCCAGAGGTGAAGTGCTGAAAACTTTTGGGGCTGTTGTAGGGGAAGTGTGCCTTGGTGTGCTGGTGATCCTGAACATCAACTACTGTAGACTCAGGCCTGCAAAATGTGGGAGGATAAGCTTGGATAACATCATCATTCCTTTGGAGGGGAAGCACAGTTCCCCTCAAGGTTAGCTACAGCAGATATGATTTTCTAGCCTGTGCCTTGCAGAAACTCCAAACCCAAGCAAAGGTTTCTACTCATCCCTCTCCCAATAGCTCCAAGAGGCACTGGAGTTGAGAGAACTGTGGAACAGCTGCTGGTTTAGCTTTGGTGTTGCTGCTTTTTAATTAACTGCTGTGAGTGTGTGCCATGGGCTGGAGACTGAAATTGAAAAGCATCTTTCCAGTCCTCTGGAAAAAACCTGAGGAGCAACGCTTGAGCAATGTGTTGTGCCCCTCAGCGTTTCTTAGTGGCTGCATCCCACATTCCAGGCTTTCTCCCACACCTTTGCTCCCCTGCTTGGCATGCTTCTATACCTACAGGCAGGCAAGACTGGCTGGGGCACTGGCAAGGAGCTCTCCTTTGGTTTTTTTTGAAAAGGGCCCTTGAAACGTGTTTCTTTTTTCCCACTTTATTTTCCTAGATAGAAAAGCTATCCTTGGTGATTTGCTGTGATTCAGTGCAGAGATGGTTTTGTAAAAGATACTGAAAGGGTCGCTGCCAGTGCAGGAGTTTGAATAACGTGGCTCTGTGGCTTCTTATGAAATTGAAGATCTGATTATTAAACATAGACTGTAATAAAAATAGTTTCTGGTGTTGGCGGATGCATTTCAGCAAAGAAATGTGGCTTAAATGTCTTCATTTAATTCCAGTGTGTTTAAAATTGATCTCATGGACCGGAAAAGAGGTTTTTTTTCCCCCTTAACTAGGGTCTGTGAAGGAAATTAATACAGGGAAGGGAAAATAGAAATACAATACCACACTCAGTGAAACAAATGCTTATGACTGAGGGCCTCGTTCCTTGCTAGCACCACTGGAACAGCCAGCTGTATAAGGTATGTTTTATTATGGAATTAACCTTGACCTAAGGTTCAAAGAGAAAGGTTAGTTTGAAATAAATCAGTAGTATGGTCAGGTCACTTCAAAGAGTCTAAAGCTGAGCTTGAAGATTGCATGCTGTTTATGTGTATCCACTTGGAATAGAACATATGGTAAAGATAATAGCAGTAAACTATTTATCTCTTCCACCCGCCCCCACTTTGGATTTAACGCCTTTTTGTCCTTTGCATAGATCTGCTGCAGGGGATGTTTTTATCCTGGGATGTTTATTGAAAACAGAAATGTGGAATGAAACAACCTTTTAAAGTCAGCTGGGTAAAGCAGTTTTGCCTTTAACGTTTTTCCAATTGCTCAGATTAAAGTAAACCATTTTGGAAGTAGTGATGAATATGGTGAATCATATTTCTTTGTCACTTGTCTCAATGAATTCAGTCTTAGGAAAATCAAAACAAAATGTGCTCAGTTCTGAATTATTGTTGTTCTGATCTAAAAGCAGGATCACATTTCATTGTTACATGTGAATTACATGGATTTAAGAGCTTCCCAAATACCAGATAATTCATGAGACATCCCAGTAAACTGGGCATGAGTATCCCAGTTAGCACAGGGAATGGGAACTGAGGGTGGTTAAGGAATTTATCCAAAGCCACTTGTAAACTGTAGCAGAACAAAGGTTTGTCCTCGAGGCTGCTTTAGATTCCAGCCCTTTTTGATGGAGAGGGCCAGAATGCCACCTGGGAATTCCTGAATGACACTCTGCTGCTTTATCCAGAAGACCAACCTGTATCTTTTGGTCCATTCTTTTGCTCTCTGTGCCATATGAGAGGTACCAGGACATGAAAGGCAGTGTGTCACCAGGTTCAGCCTTGTGTAGGTTGTATAGGGGAAGTAAAAGAACTTTTCACTTCTTCTAAACACACTGGATGCAGCCTGGTCTATTGGAAGGTGTTCCTGTCCGTGGCAGTGGGGTGGAACAGGGTGATATTTAAGGTCCTTTCCAACCCAATCCATTCTTGGATGGGATGAGAAACAAGGTGGATGCAGTGAGGGGCTGGCAGTTGTCTAAGATGCAGAATTCTCCTTGCTGATTGCAGCACTGAATTGCTGTAGTGAGGCCAACACTGTGGTTTTGCAGGGCTTACAGGGAAGCAGTGGGGAGAGCAGTGCTGCTGGATGCTGGGAAGCAGAGGGGATCCTCTGCTGAAATTAAAACCAGCTGCTGAGCCCAGACATGGTCACTCGGTAATAGCTTTCCTCCAGATTGGTTTTTCCATAATGTGTGACATGCAGTTTGCAGATAGTAGCATGTTTTAAGATTTATGATTGCCTGACTTTTCCCATTAATAGGGAAATCTGATAATTGTCCATTTTAAAGCAATTGCTGAACAATAGGAAGGAGTATGCTTGTTGAAAGTAAACATAAAAGCGAGCTGGATCTATGTTGGGGTGCTGAGCCTTTGATAGATTTTCTCCTTTCAGCAGTCTTTGATCTGCCACACCAGAAAATAAACTCAGTGGGAGACTGGATATGGGATATAGAGCAGTTCACCTCTGGGTCATGCACTCCAATCCAAGCCAGGTCAGGAGTGGGGCTCTGGGTCAGTTCTGGCAGGAGCTGGGCTGGCAGCACCCCCAGTGTCTGTGCTGCACCTTTGTCATGGCACAGGGGGTGTGTGGGTCTGCAGGGACACCTCTGCAGCAAAGGGGGGACCTGTGGCCTCTTCCCCACATCCCAAATGAGAGCTTTGCAGCTTTGCTAAGGAGATAAATGATATGGGAATACCCAGGGGAGTGCAAGGGTTCCATCAGGATTTGGCTCTCAGGAATGTTCTTGCTGGAGAAAGCTGAGTGCTCTGGCATGGGTTGTGTGCAGGTTGTGCCCAGTCCTCAACACCAATCTCTGTGTTCTCTATCTCCTTAAAAAAAACCCCAAAAAAACCCAACAGCTGTGCCTGGTAATTATCAGTTAATCTAAACAAACGGGAAGTCTGCAAGGTGGTCACATCAGCCTTGTAGTAAGAGACCTGTAAATGTGCAGCAGTTGTCCTGGAGGCAGCAACATCTCCTTGCAAATAAAAGGGCTGTTTCCTCAGAAATATTGTGTCCCCACCTTTGGAGGGCTGGTTTCAAAG